GCGCTGTGCTCACGGCGGCCGGGGCTGGCTGCAAATAGAGGCTTCTGAACTTGGCTTGAGCTGGAACTGAACAAGCCCAGCTCGTGCCAGCTCCAGGAGCTACCTCTGCTGCTACTCTGCAGTTTAAATGTAGCAGGAGCCGAGCTGCCTGCATGCCCAGCTCTTACTACATTTAAAATGCAGAGCTGCAGCAGGGGTAGCTCCTTCTGAGCACCTTCCCTTATTGACTAATTGTGTAGTTGATACAAATTGCATTTACTACACAATTACACAATTACCAACCTCTTAACATCTTTAACACGTTTGAGACTTTACTCTAGATATATGATGTATGCTCCAGCGCATCATCACCTGTGTTTGTGACCTTTAACATTGATAAGTGGGCAAATTAAAGCAAATATATAGTTAAGGCCAACCAAGTTTATGGCCTTTTTCAGACTTAACAGGTACACCACAAAGAATATGGAAACAGCTGGTTAGGATAGAAATATCAGAGATGAGGATGAACTAATAGTCACTAATTGTTAAAAATGTTATAATATTCACAGACCTAGCCTATAGAGCGAGTGTACCCTGATGTTTTTGTGGGTGAGGAAAAGTTTGGACATAGAAAGAAGGCTCATAGGCCTTATAAGAGGGGCAACCCACTGTGTTGGATAGGTGCAGTTCATTCATTGTTAGTGTGTCATTATTAGTTCTTAATTTTTAACTTCACGTGTAAACTAGCTTCTATAGTCTTTCTGTAGCATTTACCTCTCACTCAAAACTGGAATTTCACTTCTGTTGTTTTTATTACCGTTTTCATTTTTTTTTCATACTAACATAATGCTATGGTGTTTCATGTTATTGGTATTGCAGGATAAGATTTTGATCTGAAAGTAAATAATTATATATTACAGAATCTAAATTTTGGCCCTAAATTCCTGGTCAGCAATATTTTTAGTAAATTTAGGCCAACTTATTTCATGGATGACGCTTCATATGTTTTTGTACTTGAAATATCATGTAAGAAATATATTTAACTCAATTTGCAGATACCAAAAAAGAAGACAAAAGAAAAAAAATCCTTTGCATTCATATTGAGAACATGATCCAGTAGCCTTGTGTAGGCCATGGGATTGCTCACATAAAGGATCAACCCTTTGGTGACAGAATTATTCCGCTGAATAAATACAAAAGGCTTGATTTAGCTAAATCTTGTTTTGCTTTAATTTCATGTTAGGGGAAATAGTCTGGCACTTCCTTTTAAATCAGCTTGTGATTCATAGAATAGAGGCAAATGTTAGGGGATAAAATTAGTAGCTGGCATAAGCAAGATTCACCACAATTTCCTAAATGAATGGCAAAAAAGAAAAATGAGGGAGAGGGAGGAGTGGAAAGCAGTTAAATTAGGGACTGGAAGGAAGCAAGGACAATCACAGACAAAGGTACTGCAACTTTTAATTTTATGTTTGCCTCCTAGATATGGTTGTCTTTGGCACGTTAGAAATACATTTGGTAGATAGGTAAGTAGATAAAATTAACAGTAGCATGTCAAAAACATGGAGTCTTTCTAATCTATCTACATATAATATGCGAAATGGGGACCAAATCCATGGCTTTCTAGTGTAGAAAATATTGAAGTTCTCTGCATCTTCTAGGTGCTGGATTAAAATCCAACCAACTGTTACATACTGTTTTTCAAAAAAGAAAACTTCAGGCAAAGGCACTATATAGAATTAAATAAGGACCCAGATATGGTTGGACTTTCTGAAGATCAGCCATTGTGCTCTTTCTGGAGAGCTGGATCAGATCTCTTGGGTAATTTATGTTGGTTTTATCATTTTTCTATTAAAGGTAAATGAGAGACAAGGTGGGTGACAATGTCTTTTACTGGACCAATTTTTGGTTGGTGAAAGAGAAGCTTTTGAGCTACACAGAGCACGTCTTCAGATGTTACCTCACCCACCTTGTCTCTTGAATATTCTGGAACCATCACAGCTACAACAACATGTTAAACAAAGATATATATTTAAAACCTACAAAGAAAAGCATATTTCTTCAAAAACAGTTGTTTGCTAGAATCTGTTGAAATTATTTCAAGGTTGTAAATAAATAAAAAGCAAGAACATCATAATTAAAGGAGGCTCTACTCACAACTTACTCAGGTTGGTCTGTTTAACAAATTACAGTGCTCAGGTTTGTTAAAATAGTTGAGGCCCAAATTGACTGCTGCTCAAATTGTTATAACCTGCTGAAGAGAAAAATCCTAAATGACTATTTTTATTTTAAATGACAGGTTTACAGTCTGTCTTTGGTCCAGCTACTTGTGTAATGAGCTCCTGAGAGACAGTTTAAAAGACTGAGCTAGGGTGATGCTTAAGAAGAAAAACTGCAGTGTAGTAAAGGAAGTTTCCCCTTTGGGGACAGATTTCTTGGCAAGTTCGTGTCCTGACTTCTCAGGTGGAATCCTCTTGTTAGGAACAGCAAAGAACTTTCAATGACAAATTTAGAGATGTAGATTTTTGCCCAGTATTTCCAAATTGAGAGCAGGCTATTACTGTGAAAAAGCTTGCTCAGACAGCAGCAGGGCTATTGATGGCTCAGAAAAGAAATTTCAAGTTGTCTGTAGCATTTCCAGAAAAGTGAAAATAGGAATATGATGGTTCTATTACTGTACTGCACAGTTGCTGTATGGTATCAGTGGAATCTTATGCTTTATTGGAATAGCCAATCTTTGCCACGTGCATTTCATTGTTTCTTTCTACTGTGACAACTGAGGGCAGCAAGGGCTCTAGGCTTCTTCCCTGTTTGCAGATGCTAACTATTCTCCAGCAAGTCAGAAGAGGAGCTCAGTAGAACAGTCATTGAGACATGTTAACTCAAGTGCAGGGTCACCTTCAGGCCAAGTCTGTCCAGTCCCTTAGTATTTGCACTTGTCAGTTTCTCATAGTTTACTATTTAGAGCTAGGGATTTGTCTTCTCCTTATTAGCATGCTTACTGGGATAACCAGTTAATGGACGCCTAGAGCAGCCCCCACCTGCATTGCAGTGTGGTGGTCTTGACGCAGCTTGGCTAGACCTGCCTGTGGTGCAGGAGGCCCACATGAGTCTCCCACCCATAGAGATCTGGGTAAACGTATACCTATTTGGGGCTAAGAATTGAATTTCAGTTGTCATTTAGACTCTGATTTTAGCAAAATACATAAGCATGCCGCTAACCTTCAGCACATGAGTAGCCTTGTTGAAGTCACTCACATGACTAAATTCAAGCAACTGTGTATGTGCTAGCAGGCTTGAGACCTCAAGTGACTTCCTCCGAGGCAGAAATAGCTGGTTGTTTTTTGTTTTTTTCCTTCTTCAACTAAACTAATGTGCAATTTCTCCATCAACAGGTGATGGAGACCAAAAGCATGTTGTACCTTGTGACAGAATATGCCAAAAACGGAGAAATTTTCGGTAAGCAAGAGATTATTTTAATGATAAAATACTGGATTATTTACTTCTGCATGTTGTTATTACAACTAACGTAATCAGTTTTTATAAAATAAAAACGCACCACCAACGTGTGGAACTCGTTTTCAAGGCCACAAGAAAACTGAGTTTAAAAAAAGAACTATGTAAGTTCATAAAGGATCAAACCATCAGTGGCTGTTAGCCAAAATGGTCAGGGGTGCATGCCCATGCTCTGGGTGTCCCAATTGCCAGAAGCTGAGTCTGGACAACTGGGGATGGATCACTTGATAATTGCCTATTCTGTTCATTCCCATTGAAGCATCAGGCATTGTCCACTTTTGGAAGACAGGATACTGAGCTAAGTGGACCAGTGGTCTGATCTAATATGTCCATTCTTTGTAAATTGAAGCCTCGGGGGCATTCTCACATTCTCATTTATTTGCCAAAGAAAAGTTGTGATGCTAATTGAAACGGTTTCCCTCATTTTATGAATTGAAATAACAGAAAAATATTTCTTAAGAATGTAAATGATTAATGTAAAGTTTCACAAAATAATGTTTAGGAAATGTGGTATCCTTCTAGCAGCAGGCCCTCTCGGAGAATGACAGAGTCCGCAGCCGCAGGCCCCCGAGGTATCGGACTTCTCACCCTAAGGAATATATGAAGATGAACACTTTTAAACATATATTTAACAATTAAGTCATTATACCAATAAGAAGTATATTAAAAATGTAACTTTAATTGTGAGTTTCAATTGCAAGCAAAACTCTTCCTTTTAGGAATGCTTTTCTGGCTTTGTTGTGTGCAAAACTAGTTTATAATTGAAGAAAAATCTAATTTACATGCAGCATCACTGTTAATGTTAAGCATTGCAAACCCATTCAAATGCTCTTGTCCCATTGCAGAACAATGATAGTTCTTTACTTGTTTTAATATGTTGAATGTGCATTCACTTGAAGAGATGGATGCAAGGAGAGTGACAAAAATACGTAACAAAATTGTGATATTAGGAAATACAGTCGACAGGCCGAGATCAAATATTTCTTGAAGCAGTTCTTTTGGCTTGCAATCTTATTTAAAGTTGGTGGAATGTATACATTTTAGGAAGATGATCTTATCACAGAGATCTCTTGAAATTTTGTTGTACCTTTGTTGAAAATGTTCAGTTGCTGAATATAGATATTCATCTCTTAGTTCTCTTTTCTGAATTCCTTTCAGAGTTCAGGTACAAATTTGTCACAGAGACTCACATATAAGACAACATTTGATGGTGTCAATAATAACAAAAAAAAATCATTCATTTGGTAGTGCCTTTCTGCATCAGATTGAGATGTTAGGCTGCGAATGGTGGAAAACTCAGATGAAATGTCAATACCTTGTGCTATTGATTTGGACTCAGTATTGTATCCCATTGATCATCAAAGGATTGTATCCCATTGATCACAAATCTTTTGAATAACTTTAAGAAGTTGTTCAGTGTTATTCCTCTCAACATCTAATGTAGCATTGTGTGCTTCAGTTACAAGATTCGTTTTGTGGATCATTTTTAGCAGCTTCATCCATGTGGACAACATTAAAATGCATTCAAATTTGGATGTATACTTCTGAATTAACTTAAACTCAGTGTGAACTTGTGCTGTGAGAGTAAGAGACTCAAGCTCACTTAAAGCCTTTCTCACAGAGTCCAAATACTGTGCAACTGGTTTAATGCCATCAATTCGTGCTGACTACCTAGTTGTCGACATGCCGTGAAGGGGAACAGGCAGATGCTCCTTCAGAATTTCCCACTTTCAAGGACTGCTACTGTAGAGGTTGTATAATTGCTGGATTGTTCCAAAGTATGTGATTGTTTCCTTGCACGATTCAGCTCAATCAATGCCAACAAGATTTAGTGATTGCCACAACTGGAGAAAATACAGTTTGGATTTTGCTCAAGAAGCACTGCTTGTACTCCATTGTATTTCCCAGCCGTATTGGATCCATTGGCCAAGACAGACTTGAAAATTTAATTTTGAAGCCTTCCAGAATTTCTAATACATGAGCGGTGATTTCTTTTCCAGGTGGTTTGGGGTGTTTTTGGGGGGAGGGGGTGGAATTTTCAAACGAAATGAATAGTTCTTCAATTGAAACCTTTGAACTGCCTGCAATTTTAACATATCGAACAACCAACGTCATCTGTTCTTTATGAGAACAGTCTGGAGTTGCAAAGTACTTTTCAATTATTATTGATGCAAGTTGTATCTCTTCAAGAATTGTTGTTTGCACAAATGTGTCTCAGCTCAATAAACTTGTTTTGTATTCTGATAGGTAGATAATGGACTTGCATGTGTTTTCTGTTCTCTTGTGATTCACGAACATGCTTAACATGGCTTGATAAGTGGGTCATACTTGCTAAGAAGTTCAAATATACCAAAAAAAGTTTCCATTTGTAGGGTCACCGATATGTTGACTAGAACCAAACAAAGCCAATCCCCATTCAGAAAGAAAATGAATGACATTCAGTATGCCCTCAAGGAGTTTTTTCCAGTTAGCCATTTCTGAGTTTATTTTACTCAGGAGTAAGTTTTCAATTGAACTGTCAGCTAGGGCTGCTCTACTAGCTAATTTCCATGTAACAAAATTATCTTTGTGATACTGAAGATTCATGTGCAGGTATTCGGTCTTTCAACTTCCTCCAACCTCTATTGATGTGCCAACCAGATGGATCAGACAGTACTGATGCATTTGAAGTATTACTTTTAAAAATGAAACCGGGTACACAGTACAGAGCCTGTTTTTCCATGCTCCAGCACAGCTAGTCTCTTAAGTAGATCTCTCCACTTGAAAGAGTTTTTGTCAGCAGATGAGTGGGAAAGCATGTATACAGCATCTTTTGGTATATTACTTGGAAGCTGAAAACAACTAACTTTGAGAAACAACTGCCTTTGAGCAACATTGTTCCTATCAAGAAGTCCAAGATCGGGTTCTGATGCCACTGTTGTTATGGTGTATCCTGTGCTAGTAATAAGTTCCCCTGCTCTTGCTATGCAATATCTCTTGAGGTCCTCATTTTCTGCCTGCACAATCTCTAAATCTAGTGTAGATTCTGCATCTGTCACTACTGTTGGCATTTCTGTGTCTTGATTAATGATCTCATTTTGAGGCAGTAGCACTGAAATGTCATTTGTGGGTACAAAATTTTCATCATCAGAAGTAGAAGTGTCACTGTCAATATGGTCACCGTCGAAAGGCTGGGCATCTTTTCTATGAGAAATAATGCTATTGGCTTTAAACTCTTAATTGCTGCTTCACTCTGTTGCTTTTGCTGTCGCTTACTTGCTCCACTTTCAAATTTTCGCTTCATTTTTATAGAGGGTTTCTTTTAAAACACAGTAACACAATAAATTAATTTGCTAAAGGCTATTGGTTATCTTTTAATTGTATATACTTCGCAATTAATATTGTATAACAACAGTTTGGGGGTGTTACTTACTATAGCCCTTATAGCAGGGGTTCCCAACCTTTTTCGGTCCCCGTACCCCCTTTGCTTTTAGTAAACCTTCCTGTACCCCCTATTCAATATGAAAGGAAATAAATTCTAGACTCTAGAATCCACAACTTTTTTCACTAACACTACTACTTTTGGAATATTTCAATTAAGATAATCTAGTTATTTACCAAATATTCCCCGTACCTCCTTGACAAGTTTCTTGTACCCCCTGGGGGTACGCGTAACCCAGGTTGGGAACCCCTGCTTTATAGCCTTATTTCAAAGTCTTGAAATTTCATCTGCTAACATGTTCCCATTATTAAATTCCTATAACAGTTGGTGCATTATTATGAATATGGGGTAGTTGCCAGATTAGATATAAAGTTTATTAAAAAACTAGAATTAAAAGTTTATTTTCACACACAAAAAACATTTAAAGGTGAATCTAAAATTGGACGAAGAGGTAGCTTATAGCTGAGTCCGATATGGTTATTGTGTACAAAGACACATAAGAAAAAACAAGAATACAAAGATCTATGCAGAGATAAACATCTAATTTAAAAGTTAAACTCACCCTCAGACCAAGCAAAACCACTTTCCAGGAACATAATTAATTATGACTTTTTCAAAACATCTAAACTATCCAAAGATTGTAAACAGCGTTTCATAACGTAGAATCACCAATCACAGAAGCTACTCCAGTCACGCAGATGAAAACTCAGATGTGACTGAAATTGGCAAAGGCCGGAGGTCACACAATGATTTAAAAGATTTTTTTTGTAGAGGTGTGTGTGTGTGTGTGTGTGTGTGTATAATAGCTTCTTTTGTTGTCTCTGGAATAACTGCAAGATTTATAATCAATGGAAATTACTTGGTAGAAAAATGTCAAAATCAGAGGCCCCTTTGTCTCCTGAGGCCCGAGCCAAATGGCCCTCCTCTGATAGAGCTGTTGGATTGTGTTCTACCTTTCGTAGAATCATAGAGATGGAAGAGACGTCAGGAGGTCATCAAGTCCATCCCCCTGTCCAAGGCAGGACCAATCCCAACTAAATCAACCCAGCCAGGGCTTTGTCAAGCTGAAACTTAAAAACCTCTAGGGATGGAGATTCCATTACTTCCCTAGGGAACCCATTCCAGTGCTTCACCACCCTCCTAGTGAAATAGTTTTTGCTAATATCCAACCTGGACCTCTCCCACCACAACTTGAGACCATTGCTCCTTGTTCTGCCATCCGTCACTCTTGTGAACAGACTTTCTCCAACCTCTCTGGAACCTCCCTTCAGGAAGTTGAAGGCTGCTGTCAAATCCCCCCTCACTCTTCTCTTCTGCAGACTAAACAGACCCAACTCCCTCAGCCTCTCCTCATAAGTCATGTGCTCCAGCCCCCCTTTCTTAGCTAACTTGAGAAGCCTGTTAATAAATAGCTGTTCCCCACTTGGGTTCTTGTAGACTGTAACCAAGTTGCTCGTTAAACCTTCTTTTTAAGCTAAATTGCTTGAGCTCTTAGAACCTGTTGTTATAAAGTTAATCCTTT